GGGGGGGGGGGGGGGGGGTTAGGAAGGGGTCCTGGTGATGCAACGCTCCACCGAAAACTACACACGGATGACGAAGAAAGAAAAACGTCAAAATCGGATACCCGCTCAGTCAGTCGAACAAGCAACAAGGTATACTGTAGCACCTTCCACAAGAAGATCGATGCTGAAGAAACAGACATGACGCCTTTTATCTGTGGATGGAGATAAAATTCGTTGCGTTTGGGCAAAAAACAACAAAAATGATCAAAATCTCTCCTGCCAGTAGAAACCATCAACTTCCTCGCGGTAAAGAAGGGTGCAGAGTGCACGTGGGTGGCCAACCTTAAAACACGTGGGATCTGGGGCTTGCGAGCGACGAAAAATGGCTGGGACGTGACGACTTTGGTTCCTACCGTAGACTACGCGGAAGCCCGTACGTGCAAGGTGTAGCTATCACCCGGGCAGACAGGCGTGTTCTCGTTGTCAAGACTTGGGGCGGCCGACGCATCCCAACACAGCACCCCAAGCGTTCATCAAATCAGCCGACGTTACCCAGTATCAACCCACCTAGCTGCTTGACACTTCTCTGAAGCCTCATTCGTACGTAGCCGACCGCACGGCAAGTCGAGGCGAACCTGTCGCTCAATACTCCTGACAATCACATCCCTCGTCTCGGAAGCCTCGGCAACTGCTCGACACTTCCCCGAAGCCTCAACACCCGTCAGTGGCCGACCGAGTGACAATTGGAAGTGTACAAGAGGTGTCTGCTCTACTGGACGCATACGTGTCGCTCGAAACTCCTAACAAACACATCCCTCGTCTCGGAAGCTTCGCCCGCAACACTTCGACACTTCTCCGAAGCCTCAAAACTCACCCGTAAGTAGCCGACCATGGGGTCGTAAGCCACGAGGTTGGTCAAGACCCCGGACGACAGCGTCCTCGTCCCGTTCTTCAAGTCTGGCTCGTCCGCCACCGTCGCGGCCTCCGCTGCCACCAAACCACCGCCGCTACCACCGGCTCCCCCACACCCCACGCCCGCACCGGCGGCGCCACCCCTGACCCCGATGCCGGTGCCCCCCGCGCCCTCTAGGGCAGCCACCGATGAGGGAGAGGAGGACGAGGGGGAAGGGAAGGAGAGCTCCCTGTGGGTGACCATGATCTCGAGCTCGGAGTGATTGCCCGAGGGGGGCCAGAAGGGCAAGGTGCCGTAGACCATCTGGTAGAGGGTGACGCCCATCGCCCACACGTCGCAGGCCGGGCTGTGTGGTGCAAGTTTTCCCGTTTTGTTGGGTGGGAGCATAGGTAGGGTGTCGCGGGCACAGAGTTAAGTGGGGTGGGAAAGGTTTTGTAAGGGGCGGCGGTAACGTTGGGGGTTGATGCATGTGCGCATGGTGTCGAAACAACAACGATTACTGCAACACACCGCGGCCAGAGGCGGGCTCACGTACGATGACGTCAAGGAGCAAACGACAACAACAACGACAACGACAACGACAACACCCACCTGACCGTCGATGATGCCCCGAACAGCTCGGGCGGCGTGAAGGCCGGTGTCGAAATCAATTTCCCCTTCGTCTTGGAAACTTCCTCGTCCTCCGTCTCCCCGGACTGGTAGAGCGAAATGGAAAATAACCACCAAAAACGGAACGCACTGCTGTATGAGCGGATCGTATTTGACGGAAACGAACGCGGCATTTGAGGAAGTACACCAGAGTCACATGTGGAGAACCCCACCGGTGCCTTGCACCGAAGTGACCCAGAGCCACACGTAGAGGACCCCGCTGGTGCCATGAACCGAACGGAGTAGACCGGCACCCACAGGGCGGAACGGGTCCGCAATAGAGTGAAAGTCGGATCGAGGCTAAATTTCGTGTGTCATCGCCACCGTCAGGCACAGGTCTTGTTATTGAGAGTTTAGAGTAGGATCCACCGCCGAGCTAGCTGTGCTCCATAACCCCATCGTCTAAACTTTCCCGCCAAATGTAAATGTTTGGTCTCTTATTTCTTCAGCAGACCATTTCTTAATTTCGGGCCCGTTTCTGTAGATGGGACAAAAAATCATAGTAAGTGGGTACCGCGTTGCACAAGATACCATACGGTCCTCTTCGCCACGGAGTTATCGAGCTTTATCAATTGGTCTAAGGGGGGGCGAACTCTTATGTTTTGCATGCCTTAGCGGTTAGACCATTGGCCAATCGCTTTAGGGGTGGGTGGGTGGGTTATCTTACGCTTCTTACGGTACACGCAACTTTACTGTACCCGGACATCAAGGTGCCCGGCGGGGACGCTATCCAAAGTCATGAAAATACCATCGACACGAAATTGCTGAGGAGGTACCGATGCTGCTGCTACCCCACTTGCCCGACAGGGACGCTACCCAAAGCCTCGAAAAAAACACCATCAACACGAAGACACCGATGTTGTTGTTGTTCCCCGCACTTGCCTGGCTCTGCAGCATGACGGCGGCGCCGAAGTCGGCAATCTTGACAGTCCCGTCCTTGGCCACGAGCAGGTTTTGGGGCTTGATGTCGCCGTGCACCACTCCGTGCTGGTGGAGGTGGTGGAGACCACGGATGCAGCCGACGAACTTGTCTCGAGCCTCCTCTGTGTCCATGGGCGAAACCACGACGCCCTCGGGAAGAAGCGGGCCATCCGCGACATACTCCTGCAGGGAGAGGCGGAGACATGGAGAGAGAGAGAGACAGAGAGAGAAAGAGAGAGAGAGAGAGAGGGGCGGGGGGGAGGGGGGAGAACGACAGAGAAACAAAGCGAAGGAGAAAGAAAGAGATGTAGGTGTGGTTGTGCTTGGAGTGATTTTTTGCAAGCTCTGGGAAAATCAATGTTTCATGTTTGATTAACGAGGTCGTCTCATTCCTTATGTTCGCTGATACGGTTGTCGTTAGCGTCGACAACCCGCGGGGGTGGGTGGTAAACGTAAAGACAAGACCGTTCTTACAAGGCTCCTCCTCGTGCCAGGCTGGAATCGAAAGAAAAGCTGGACTGGGAGAACCCCGCCATCCTACCCTCTTTGGCCGGGTGCAGCGTCTCACATCATCGCATCTCTTGAAACGCACGCATGACCGCGACTAAACCTACCCCCCCCCCTACCCAGTCTGCCGTGCCTCCTATGCGCACCTGGATCATGTAGAGCTGCTGCGCCTTGGGGTCATCGATAACTTCCCACAGGGTCACGATGTTCGGGTGCCTCAGCTTCTTCATCACCGCCACCTCGCGCCTCAGCGTCTCGGCCAGGTGCTGATGGCCGCCCTGCCCCTGCCTCGACCGCATGCCGCCGCGCTTCCGCTTGTCAATGACCTTCATCGCGTACTCCTGGTCTCAGGATAGCACGCAACGTGTGGATTTCGATGGGCACGCGTTACCCCGGCTGATGGGTTGAAAACAGACGACGAAAGGCCGAAAGGCGTAACTACCAACGCCCAGATGATCGTGGCACTCGTGTTTTATCAAGTCCATCTCTTCCGGTCTCCTCTGTCACTGTATCTATACCCCTTCCCTCTCAGTCTCAGGTTTCAATGTCAGTCTCGGCTCATCTCTTGCGGTCTTCCCTCTCCGTGTGTCGACACCTCTGCCCTCTCAGTCTCAGGGCTCAGTCGCAGTCTCTGCTCTGTCTCTGCCGTTGTCTCTTCTTGTTGTGTCTCTCCCGCTCCTTCTTTGCGATGTCTACGACGTCGACGACCGAAAGGACTACCACCGCCCTGGGTGTGTGCTCCCGTGCTATGGGCGGCACGACATTTTCGTCACGATGGAACCATGTGTGCCCCCCCCATCGCCATCACGATCATGGGCATCTCCCCCGCCCCCCAAAGTAGGAAGGAATGATTGGCGATGTGTCTTGTGGGAACAACGATCCGTCCTCTCGAGGATAACTGGTCATGGGTCTATAGAAGCCGAAATGAAACCATTAGACAGTCTGATGGTTTGATTTAGGCTTCTGAAGGTCTTCCAACTCAACAAGGCATGCAAAACATGAGCACGCCGCCCCCCCCTATCGAGGCCTACCCAACACTCACAATGCCTGTTTCCCCGTCCCGGCAAAGGTGTACCGACCCGTACGAGCCTTTCCCGAGCTCGCAGATGATGCGGTACTTGTTGATGATGATGGTTCCGTTGTTGAGCTTGCGCTTCACTACCTTGACGGTCTCGCGGAAGCTCGACCTTCGAAGCGAGTGCGATGACGAGCTCGCGGACTGGCCGCAAGGGGGCGTCAAGCTCCTGGTGGGCGAGACCCCCCTGACCTCTGCCGTCGTCCATCTTCCCCTTCCTCCGGGCTTCCCCACCCCGCTATCGGCGGGGGGGGCCC